GACTGCATATTGCAAAACAACATGCCAACTACAATCAATTTACTTATGACAGGTTTTGGGTTAGAAGCATCTTCAGCAGCAATAACTACAGAGTTCACTTTCTTATAATAAAGTATAAGGTACAAAAATAGAGAGATACAAAACCATACAGAAAAACGCCATTAAGTTCATTGTTGCACTACTGCTAGGCAGGTTTGGTTGAACTGTTAAAATGTGGAAAAACAGAGAAAAACCTGAGACAGCCAACAGGAATAACAGATCTATATGGAGTCTTAGACTGAGATTTAGTTTAGAGTCCAGATTAATAAATGTTACCTGGTATGAATATATAAAATAATGATTATTACAGGCATTTCTTCAGAGCCTGAGGCTTATGATTAAAGCTGTTCACAAATGTTCTTTGCTAGCCTATAAGAGATTTCAGAAAGGTCTTGTTAGTATTAGGGCAAATCCTTTCACGATTTCTACAAAAGCAGAGATACCCAACCTATTACAGACAATAGTCGAGTGGTAATGACAGTTGCCTTGGATGCATTAGATATTCAGCTGGGTTTAAGTCTCTATTCAGCTGGACTCAGAAAAGAAAATTGAGCCAAAGTCACATGTCTTAAAGGATAATGCCCTAACTACTAGGCTGTGAGTATTGTAATGCAGATTTCTCTCAAGGTTTCTTGTTGAGCCATTTCATTTTAAATAAAATAGTTATTGGCTATTTGGAATTAAAACTTCTTAAAGGAAGTTTCTTTAAACTACCCTTGATATGACAGAGATTTTCAGGACTGATCAAGCAACAATTTCTATCAAAAACTCTGTTAAACAGAAAAATTTCCAGTCAGCTTCACTACTGGCAAGAGCAAATGCAAATACGTATCAGACATTTGTGAACACTCCCTTTTTTCTTTGTCACAAGACTAAAGACGGGACAGTGAGACCAGGCCATGAAACCTCTTTCTGTTCAACACATCAAGCAATTTAAGGCTGGAGAATCATTGCTACTCACCAATGAATCTCGTATAAAATGAAAGGAACAAAATATGCAAATAAATTAAAAGCCTTTTCATTTAAAATTGATCAAGTGAAAACATTAACACATTCATATTAATTTTCTTGTGCTAAGCAATGATGCAGTTGATAATTTTCATGCCTCAGAAGATAAGGCCTTTAATTTGAACTAAAATGAGTCATCTTTACTTTGATTTCCTTTTACCCATCCTATCTGTAATCTTGAAAATATGCCATTCCCAAACTGCTAATCTTCATGTGACTTTAACTGCAAGTCTCTCTTTCATTTCTAGAGTTTAATTTACATTCAACTATTACCTTTTAGCTCTATCAAAATGCTTCTTTACCAAAACTTAATTATCATACTCCTTTATGCAGGGCTTCCCAAAATGCACCAATTCAAATCAGCTGGTATGTGATACAGTTTATCCTTACATATAGAAACTTTATTCATCTGCAAAGACCTCTACTCATCCCCAAACTTTACCACTCTATGAATTCACAGACTAAAAAAAACAAAAATCGCTTCTGTTTCTAACAGTTTTCTCTGCGCTTCTACTTAATTTTCCTGTTTTCATTCAGTCCTCTCTCCCCTTGTTCTGTCATTACATGGGCCGTTAGTGTTTTTTTGTTTTTTTTTTTTTTTTTAGCGATTCATCCCACATTCATAACAGTGATATCTGTTAGTTTCCACCTTTTACACACTGGCATCTCCTCTAGAGAGATCAGTCAACACTGTACTAAAGAAGTAGACTACATCAGTAGGTCCCCATGCGCTATAAAAATCATTAATATGATGTTAATTTACAATCTTTATCATTTTAACTTCCATTCACTGTGAAAGGGGAGATAGTTTGAAATTGTGTTATGCTGTAAATGCTCTTCTAAACATAGATTACAAGACAATGAATGTCCTGTCTTAGTGAACACCTTCTTCAGGATACAGATTATACCCTTTTTACTTGTGCTGAGTGCTGTCCTACTCTAAGAAAGGCTCCACTGCAATGAAAACAGACACTAGTGGATGCAGAAGATGAGTAGTCTTTAAAAACAACAGCCTTCCATGAATACAAGTTTCCATTCTCACCACCAATGTACCATATTACAAAGCAGCAATAGTTCACAATGTAATGCACTTGGATACCAAACTAGGTGATGCATCTACTGCCAGAAAAGTAATGGGCAATGAATCACATTATTCCTCCAATGTTTTAAAAGGTAGAAACAATAATAAAAGAACTGCCAAGCAAATCCATGGTTCTAATTTTATACTGTCTGTAGCTCTTTAGACTAAAAATAATTCACAGATGTCATTTTTGCAATTAGCATTCCTGTTAAAAAGAAAGCCAGACTCATCCTAGTTGATTTTAGGCATTGACTTACCAGAATAATTCCACAGAGGAAGATAAATGCACTTGCATTAATAAGGATCTGCACTGCAAGCCATTTTCAAAATATACATCTTGAAAAAGGTAAAATTATAACCTAGGAATTAAGTCAGAAATTTTGACAAACATTTGTTTTATAAATGCAATGATATTAATTTAGTTGAATACTCCTGAGTTCAGATTAATATATGCTGCTCTGAAGAACTCCATCAAAAATATTACCACATTTTAAGTAATTTTTTTAGAGCTTCAAAACAGACTCTTCCTACTGTTCATATATGTCAAAGCCTTTTTTAATCATAAATTCTTCCTATCATTTAATTATAAAAGCTTCTGTAAAGTTAATTTATGTTTGAAAAATAGATTCATAAAATTCCCCAGTTCTAGATTCAAAGGAGCTGTTAAATTAAAATAACAACAATCCTAAGGATAAGGGAATTCAAAATGGAACAACAGCAGAATTCAGGCACCTCCAGCCATAATGGTAAATGTGAAGGCCCCTTTCTCAGCCTGGAGACATATGCTCTCCAAAAACACTACAGTTTTCTATGGTTAGACCAGAAAGAGGATCCTCATCTTTGCATGGCCAGAGTTTACCTACCTGAACAGAAGCAAACACCTCAATGTACATCTTACGCCTAACCGTGACTGGGATCTAGAAACAAAACCCATCCCCCTATGTGGGTTGAGGAGTTTGATCCAACAGGTATTCTCAGAGCCAGCCTAATGGTCACCAGCCAGGCAGGTTTCCTCCAGAATTCTTCAGGTACTACTTCTTTCTAAAGTGGTATATGAGCAGCAGCCATTGCTAGCCTAGCAGCATGACTACTCAACCCAAAAGGAAAATCCCCAGGTTAATTCCTTCTTCAGTCCAAGACTGAAAGCAATGTCTTTTAGCTGAATGTTCTAATCATTAGGCTACAGGCCATGTTAAATTCTGGGATGAGGGTAAGGATATATTAAAGCTCTCCTGTAGAAGTTGTATTATTGTACAGAAAAAAATAATTCAAGATTCATTGGACCAGAGAAAGAACACAAGAGGGAGCAAGAGTCTGTAGCCTAGTGATTTGGGCACTCAGCCGGAACAAAAAGAGTCCTGGGTTCCTGGCCTTTGCTCCATAGAAGGCTCATGCAGTTTATCTAATAGCCTTTCCATAATACAAATCCTGCCTTGAATCCAGCTAAGTTTTCCTTCTTGATCCAAGCTTATAAATAAAATTTTGGGTAACAGTAACATTTATCAGTTTGAATTTCTTTTTGAATGAAAGATGTCAACATATCTTTTGTATGCTTTTAATGCTAAATTGAAAATGAAGAACATCAATAAAACTGAAACGTGCCAAAAACCTAAAGCTTACTTCATATTAATTTTATGGCATACTTATATATATATATAATACCATAACTTAACTGAAAGCAGGTTGAAAATAATATAAAAATTCAAGTCCATTTATTTACCTGTGTCAGTAATGCTGCTTTGAATCACTAGGTTGGAACTTTTTTATCTCATCTTTCTCAGGATGTGATAGCATTTGATTTTTAAGAAGTTATAGCAATAGTAGTAGAACTCTAATATCTTAATTCTTCTCAGTTTCAGTTTCTGATTCTCTCTTAATAGTATTTTCTTTTTCTGGTTCTCATTTCCCAGCACAACAGTGCAGTGTCATGTAGGAGACTGCTTAAATCTAAGCTAGTTTACCCTGAAATTCCCACTCCAACAATTTCATGGACATATTTCTGTTTTTGCTAAACATTCTTTTTATAATAGCTTCATTTTGGGCCTAAGCCTACATAACAGCATCTCTTTAAATAATATTCCACACCTTGAAACGTATTACAAAAACAGTTATATCAAGGCAAGTTATGCAACAGCTCTCTATGGTTTTAGCATTTTTACTCTATCACGCCATATGTGAGACTGCAGCCTCCACAACAAAACCCTTACACACTGAAGTCATTATCTTTGTGAAGTCTGCAACTGGCATTTAAAACTTATTGATGGCCTGGGTATTGGTGGCTCAGTAGGCAGCACTCTTGCCGGAGGCCCAGGAGGTCAGCGGTTCACATCTTGCTCAAAGAACAAGTTGGACATAGTCCAGGATTGTGTGTGGGCTGTGCTATACTCCTAAAGGGGCAGTCCTTAGGACAGTAAGTGAAACCCTGTCTGTTTTGTGGATATCAAAGTCCTCTTGGAAATGGAAGAGGAAGAAAGAGCAAGTTTAACTTGTCTGAAGCTAGTTAATGGAAATTAGCACACTCGCTGAGGACCTGAATATAAGTGTTCGTGCTAAATACAGAACGCTACAACTACAGTACATTGAACAGTTTTGAACAAGCCATTTTAGTTTTTGTGGTAAGCATATGTTCAAGAGACAGGTACAGATTGCCACACATGCTCAGTATTAGCTAACTTGCTAAGAGCAGAATGACAATAGATTCAGTTTCACACCACAGAACTAAGAAAAATGCATGTATAATTTTTGTAAGTGAGGAATTAAAAAAAAAAAAGTTTTAATGCTGTTAACACTTCAGAGTATAATTACTGAAAAAAAAACTTCAGCCACAGTCAGCATTAACAACATATATAGAGAATATAAATGGAGATTCAACCTGCTCTGGTGTTAAACTTTGATACTTGAATGTCCCAGATGTCTCTCTCCTCCTCTTCTTTATAGACAGGTAAAGATGGATCTCTTGAAGGAACTGGGAATCACACTCTAGGCAAAGGTTGGACAGGTGATCAATGTACAGCATGAGATTTTGCCGTGGCTATGTGCCTCCAACAGTGACTGGATCATCTGGTTTAGAAAAACAATTCAAATTGTAATATTTTCTAAAGAACTTAATTAGGGAAAAGTAGTTAAAGGGAAAACAAATTATTTTCATTACACAAAATGTATCATAACTTCATCCTACAATGATGTAGCTCATTAACAAAAAATAATATATTTTTATTTAACATTTAGTTCATTAACTTTTTAATTCCTTAGAAGTCAACCTTAAGAAAATTACAACCCATTTCCACCAGCAGAACATTTTCAACAGTTTCCCATGAGATATTAAGTTATTCTTGTAAGGTTTTTTGTTTGTTTGTTTTTGTGTGTGTGTCTAACACAACCACACAAAGTGCAAAGGCCAAGCCTGGCCCACTACTTAAACAGGCTTTGGAGCAAATCTTAGTTTATTAGTCAAGTGGGATTCTAATCTATAGTGCACTTCAGGTTGGTATTCACAGATGTTAATGTTTGTTAACAAAGATTCATCTTCTAACACTCCCTGCACTGTCATTAGATTGAAAGAGAATTTTCTAGATGACCATTCATAGGACCTGGAGTGAAAATTTTCTTCTAGCAATTATGAACACTGTCTTGTACATAGCTTTTTTTTTTTTTTTTTCCTCTCACTGTCACAGAAAAGCAAATAATGCCATCATTCCCAAAAATATCCAGTAGTAAAATGGACACTTAAATTTAACTTTGGTGAAATCAACCTGTATTTAAGCAAGTGTCCACACATATTAAAACAGATCAAAAGCATCATGACATCTTCAGGCTTTCATATAATTAATGTGCCAGTATTAAGCTTCTTAAACAAAACAGGTTAACTGATAGTATTATTTCTAGTTTAGAAATAGAGGAACACATAGCACAAAACCAGTGTAAATTTGCAAATAATTATGAGTTCATTTTGTTGCTAAAATTTGAAAATAAGCTATTTCAAGGAATGAAGGATGTCCTCTTAATCTGTGACAACAAATTTGTTTGTTTTTTTCTCTTCTCAGTAAGAAATAAATTAGCTTTATTTTTTTTTTTCCTCAATAAAAATATCCTTGTGAATACATAAGCACTCCTGGTAATCATGTAATTACCTTACCCAATCAGATTAAATTGCTGTCAGTTGAGTTCCCACTGTTGATTAACTTTCATGTACTTTAAACTTCATTTATGAAGTCTTTGGTAGTCACTTAGTCATTTACAAAGGTGTCTCTATGATTCAAAAAAGTATAACAGCAATATATTATTTGCTATAATCATCATATATCCAAGGTCAAGGATAGATCACAGTGGACCACTTTTCTAAAATCCTGAAGAAATGCAGAATTAAACTGTGTTGCTTATTTTGGTGTTTCTTGTCATGACTTCTAAACGTAATAGTAACCTTTGAACCCCACACATTAAACACCATAATTATGTAATTAAAACTAATTATGCATTTAACATACATATTTTTGTCCTACAACAGGCAGGTCAATTACCTCACTCATTGACCTTGGAAGATTTCACAGTTTAAACAAAACAATGAGGACTTTCAATTAATTTTAAAGTACAAACAGTAAAGAAGCAGCAGAACCACAGAAGTCTGAAGACTTGAAGCTAATATTGACTAGATGGATAACTTACAAATCTCTTCATTTTGTATTACATAAAATAACCCCTCCCCCCCCCGCTAAAAAATCTTATCCTTCTTATATCTTTTGATCATTACAAACATTAACACTTTTGTGAATAAATCATACACACATTACACGCCAAAAAAAAAAAAGTGAGCTAAGTGTCCATGGATTACTTTTTTCTTTGTCCCACTCATTTTCTTCAATATGGTTTCCTTTGCTTCCTCCTATATTTCTTTACTTCTCTCCCATTTCACCTTCACTTTTAGAACTCTTTTTCTTTCCCCCTTTTTCTTTATCATCTTCTCTGTTCCACTGCTAGCTGTAAAATTTGTTTGCAGTTTATAAAACTGCTGCAGCCCTTATATTTTCCAATTTCTGTTTGCTTTCCTAAACGCATTCAAGAGATGGTGTTTCTCAACAGCTCCTGATGATGAAAATCCAGCACACTGAGAGAATTCTGAACTGCAGAAAGCCACAGCTAAAACAAACATGGTACATGCTCTAAAAACTGTTCCAAATTTTCCAGTGCTGGAAATTTGGTACAAGTGAAAAACAATATATGAAATTATAGAAATGTATTTTACCTGGATAATGCCTTCATTTTCTTCATACACTCAGGTAAGCTATATATACTGCACCATTTTTATTTTTTAATTTTACAAGAGACTAATGCAATATTATATTTCGGACAAGGAACTTTTTTCTTTTCATAGGGTAAATAGTTCAACCTTTTTTTTTTCAACCACTTTTTTCAGTAAATCAAATCCCATTCACTAAAGAACAATTCTTAAAGCAAGTATACGCCTATGCGTTCTACGTTAAAAAGGATCACATTCTGCTACTCTGTTTATTCAATTGCTATCTTAGACACAAATAATTCCACTGAAGTTAATAGGCTTTGCTGTGAAGTAAAGTGACAGAAACTGTATGTATAGGTATACCATTCAAGTGTTTTTTTTTTTTTCTTTACATCTCTCTTTATGTGGATATCAAAAAATAATTACTGGCAAAATATCAAAGTCTATATAAATCTTAGCTGACTTCTTGAAAGTAATGGAAAGGTATCTACAGTGCACTTTGTGTTCTGGTGTCATTTCTAACACCATTTTGGGAGTCCTTCAGGTTCTCTGCTTTAATTAGGCCTGACTTACACAGGCAGATCAAAAAGACATCAGTAAACCTTTGACAAGGAAATAAGGAATGCTGAACTCTGAATGAGGAACAGCAAAGGAACAATTTAAGATGGTAGCAGGCCTTATTGTAACATTAAACCTCAAATTGGATCTGATTTATAAAAAGTAAACCAATATATTAAAATAGTGCCCCAACTTCTAGACAAATTTGAAAGAAAACAATACAGTGCATGTGTAGAAATTTTATCTTAGGGATCAGAGAAGAGTATTCCTTATACTCTCGTTTAACAAAAAGATTCCTTATGTTTTGAATGGAATATTAAAATTCTAATTCAGCTCACAGAGCATCTCAAACAGAGCAACAAAAGAATGTGTGAAAGAGTCCAAATATGGTGCTATTGAAACAGAGTGGATGAGAGTAACTGGGATGGAATCCTACAAGTGGCTAAACAGCAGCAGGAGATCACCTTCACAAACAGCAGGATGCTATTCTTTCCAGCTGTGAGTGACATAATACAAGAGATTGAGATTGTATTGAGCTGATAAATGTACACATTAAATAAAGGCCTTGCTATAGAACTTTCAAACTCAGCAATCATTTAGGTAAATCCTGTAGCCCCAATTTACCATGAAGAGCATTTTGTCTCATATGAACATGCCACATTAATCATGTAAAACAGAATCCTTTATAACATAAAGGCAATAATTTTTAAGAGTTTAAATGTAGAAAACACAAGAGTATTTGCTTAAGGATTCAGAAAATGAATAAAGCCAAAAACTTTTGGACTTTTGCATCTTTTACACATCTTTACACTTTTTTTTAATCACATTTTTTTAAATAACTTTTACACGTCTTTACACATCTTCAATTCTGTCCTGAACAATTCTGTGCATATTAGGCTAAATATACATAAAAGTATTAGCCCGAATATCTGAGATATCTATATCAGTACTGTTACTGAACTGTACTATCTAACAGTACTGTTACTGTTCAGTAATTGCTACTGCTTGATCTGTTAATGACATGTCGTAACCCTACTAAGTGTAACCCCAGTAGTGTAACCCTACTGGTTATTCATAAGTTCTGTGATATAGCAGTACTATTAGAGAACCTTTAAGGTTCTGAAGGGCCCAGTTGCATTTGTAAAGAGACACTGAGATATCAAGATAAGGTGCACTTAATGAAAATAAAGGATTAATAGATCATTTTAGTTTCTAAATTTAATGGAATTTTACAAAATCAGATTTCTTCTAAGCATCTATTTTCCACTCACACTACTTCCCAGATCTCTCCATCCCCCACCCTTTTTTTCTAACCTCAACAACTGCTAATTCTATTTGATACTCAGATTAATTGCGGTATGTATGATGTAGCTGTTTTGAATTTACTTCTTCATAAGGGATGGCTTTATTTTTTCTGGAAACTCACAGATATTTGGTTAAATCTCATTAGTTATCCAGTTGACTCTTTTCATTCAGAAATTAGTTTGAGAGTTTGTGGCACCTTTGAGAACATAAGCTATTATGATTAAGGAGGCAGGCCAACAAGAAGCGCAAAAGCATAGACTTTCCATTCCATGACCTGAGCAACCAAATAAGAACATCGTGACACCTGCAGGAGACACATGAAGATTATTTCCCGAGCCCTTCCTCAGCACATGACCAGAAGTTCACCTATGCAATCACAAAACAGGCATTTCTGTTTCATGACTGAGTGAAGGAACATGACGGATGATGTCTGTATTTCGATACTTCAATGGACATGTGAATAGATTTATGATCATTTATTCTGGAAAGAGACCAGATTACAAACCAGGTAAAGTTCTTGCTAGCTTCAATCTATGGATCATGACACAAGTTGGCCATCTGTGCTGTTAATATGTATGATTTCTGGAGATCTTCCATAAAACTGTATAATGAGGAATTTGAAATGATGTAGAGATAGCCACAGCATTCAGAAATTGTAGCCCTAGTCACCCGTTCAACTGAAAAACAACAGAACAATGCTGTTTTTCTATTACCTGCAGTATTGTATAGTTATTGAAATATGTAATCGTCTTGTTTTCATCACCGCAGGGAATGTGACTTATTTACATGTACGGCTGTATTGCACATTTATAGCATGTTTGGTACAGAGCAGAACAGCTCTGTAAAAGATGATTAAGACATTATGCTGAACTAAAAATTGGATGCTTTGTGAATATCTCTGTTTTGGCCTTTCCCCAAGAGTTTTCCCCCCACAAACTGAGAGATGACAGCTGGAGCAGACTAA